TATCAGAATATCCATTCCTGAATCAAAGGCCCTACTTTCCACATATGTCTACGTTAAAGGATCCCTTAGTAAAATGACTGGGTTCTTGCCTATCTATAAGTTCCAATGATGAGCAAGGAGGAGAGGCTACTCACGGGCGCAGGGGCTCTGAAAACCAATTTTTCAAGATGACTTAAAATTGGAAAGGCAGGAAGTAGCAGTCACAGCTGACATTCAGAATGAATAATGCTTTTTCATATGGTTACACGTTGGGCTGTGAGCCATAAGGTCTGCAGTTCAAAACCATCAGCTGCTCGGTGGGAGAAAGATGGGGCTGTATACTCCCACTAGGTTGTCTCAGAAACGCACAGGGGCAGTGCTACCCTGTCCCATGCGGCTGCTATGACGACTAAATGACAGTGACGCCTTTGGTTCCTCAATATGAGCAGGCACTATTTTTATATAGGCTTAATAAATCTGTGGCTAAGTGTGCCACTGAAACATCTTCTTTCATAGCCTCAGTTCATGAAAGAGTCATTTGAAGGCACCAAAGAAGGTATGAGAAAGAGACCTTTTACCTAGTGATTTCAGCCTAGGGTTTAAATTACAATTAATTTTTTTTCTCAGTCTTCAAATCGAAAATCATTCTATATCCATTGCTTCTACATGTGCTTAATGATTTCAAAGCAAGAACTTAAACAAAGCTGTACCACTGTGACCAAACGGCCCATGGGCCACAAATTAGGGTGCCCCCCCCCTTTGAAGATCCTTTTAGACACTGAGGACTAAAATGAGTCCAATTCATAACCAGTCAAGGTAATGAAAACCACATGAAATTATGCCCAGATAATCCAACGCTTGCTTTGTAAGTGGCAGATTTCACGTGTGTGCACTGGTCACATCAAGGTGAATGGTCCGGGCACGTTCTGGTTTCATTCTGTTGTCCAGTTGGCAGGTGACAGCCGTTTATTAGGAACCAGTGACAAAACACAGGAAAAACAGTTCACGGTATGGTATATGGTATGTAAGCTCTGTGGCCTACATCAGTCTGCTGACTTGAAGAGAAAAACCTGAAGAGTGCAAAGCCAAGGCCATTCTACTTTGTATTTCAAGCGGAAGACATCACTACAAGAACAGCAGATACTGCACTTCAACAACTGGTCAACATGGGCCTCTGACAAAGTTAAGAAAAAGGTGAATGGGTCCCTAACATTCTTCCACTAATGAGCATCACCTGTCTCCCTGGAGCTCCTAAACCAATGGTTTTCAAATTGAAATTAAGAGTCAGAATTCTGAGGGCTTGTTATATGTAGATTGTTCCGCTGTCACCCCAGAATTTGATTCAATACATCTGAGGGGGTGTCTGAGAGCTTGCACTTTTAGCACACTACCAGGTGATATTAATGCTAGAACATATGGCGAATCACTGTCACATTTTGAAAACCATTTCTAAACATGTTTAATCCATGACTTTCAGGTGAGACCCCAGACTAAAACCTGCACAAGTCCTTAAATTGTATCACTTTTAAATAATACCAAAACAGTTTTTGTCATGACAAAGTGGAGCCAACTGGGTCTATAAGGAAAGGGCTAAGAATCTCCAGATGGCGCTCTGATGGTGTAGTGGTTAAGCATTGGGCTGCAATCTCCATGGTTGGCAGTTCAAAACCACCAGCAGCTCTGAAGGAGAAAGACTGGGCTTTCTACTCCTGTGAACAATTACAGTCTAATGGCAGTAAGAAGAATCTCTAAGAATCTCTGTGTAAGAAGTATCTATGATAAACCCATTTATAATCATGCCAGTTAAGCATTACTGAGGCATAGAGGAAAAACCCCTGGTAGTACAGTGATTAAAGTGCTTGGCTGACAACCAAAAGGTCAATAGTTCAAGTACACACAAGCCCCTCTATAGGGAAAAGATGTGGCAGTCTGCTTCTATAAAGAATACAACCTTGAGAAGCCTGTGGAGTTCTGCTCAGTCCTACAAAGTCACCATGAGTCAGAATTCACTCCATGACAGTACAAGTGTGGGTTTGCTTTGAGGTTTCAAGGCAAGTCTAAAAGCACCTGAGTGGACTGGAGATGGAATTCTTGAAACAACCACCAAGAGCAACAATGCATGAGTTGCTTGACAACACCAACCCCATTTTTCAGGTTTCCCAAGGAAGAGTGAAGCATCATTTCTCAAAGTATGGCTAGTGGACCTGCAGTATCGGCACTGTCTAGGACAGCGGTTCTCAACCTGTGGGTCGTAACCCCTTTGGAGGGTCGAACAACCCTTTCACAGGGGTGGCCCGATTCACAATTGTAGCAAAATTACAGTTATGAACTAGCAAGGAAAATAATTTTATGGTTGGGGAGGGGGTCACCACAACATGAGAAACTGTATTAAAGGTTCGTGGCATTAAGAAGGTTGAGAACCACTGGTCTAGGAGCTAGTTAAAATGCTATGTTTTCAGCCGCACTGCACTATGACAAAGTTCACAGGTGAGCCCCAGGCACATTAAAGCCTGGGCAGTTCAATGGACTGTCCCAAAACAGGGAAATTCTGGTATGTTACCCTGAAGGGCACTCAGCCAAAACATCTGGGCTCCTTTAGCTTGGAGTGGGGTGGGTGGACCTCGCATCATCCCATTCAGCATTGAATGCCAAACTAAGGAGAGAAAGGCTACGGGTTCTCTTATTTTGTCAACGTGATTTAGAAAAAAATATTTTAACCTTTTAGTAACATGTCTAGTTAGAAAAGTTTTCACAAAATACACCACCTATAAATCACTGATAAAGGCAGTTCTTTTCCTTTTAGTCCATAAACTTTCAAGTGCAGAAAGGACACTAAATACCTTTCCTTATTCCAATAACTCGTCCTTGGCATGTGGGAGACAGACATCACTGCAGCTGGCTGTCAAGCTGACTCTAAGCCACAGCAACCCCTGTAGACAGTGAAGAATGGCTCATAGGATTTTCTAAGCTGGGACCTTTTGGAAGCAGATCACCTGGCCTGTCTGTAGAGGTGCCTCTGGTGGGCTAGAACTGCTACCTCTTTTGGGAATAAGTGGGTAGGATAGCTTAAATATTCTAGTTGTGAAATTACAGCCCCTTTTTATAATGCTCATTCAAGAATGCAGGAACCTACCTTTCAAGGTCCCTTGAAAAGGGGAAAAGTTCAGTTCTCCTCAAGTCCCACATAAAAGTACTGGTGTATTGAGAAGCATGTGTATGGCCCGTTTAATTCAACCATACTGCAACACTGCACGATTAACTAAAGAAAGGGAACCTATTTTCAACTAACTTTGGTAGAGAAGACACATCCAGGCTCCACTGTCATTCATAATGTTTTTCAAAATAATTTCTTTAGGTTGTATCTAAGTACACCAGAATTCTGAGGTTACTGAGCTGCTTCAACTTCGCCAGTGGCATACAGAAGTTCATCCTAAAAGCTCTTCCTTAAAAAGGCTTAAGCAGGAACACTGAAGTATACATATATATGAAAGTGTAATATACTTGCTATCCTCAGATCAGGATGTGAAAGTGATTCAAAAGCCTCTCTTGCCTGAACTCTTCAAACTCATTACCAGTCAGAATGTTATTTCAAACAGTGCCTCGAGATTCCAAATCACGTAAGCTTATAAAAGCAATTTAAACCAGTTTCTCTTCATTTGAGAAGCTTTTCCCCATCCCGAATTCACCTGTCAACATTTGAGGTAATGAACTTAAGTTTTGAAACACTACGCAAGTGCTCTTAAGTTTGAGAGAGTCCCCGGGGAGGGAGGGGGAAAATGAGGACCTGATGCCGGGGCTTAAGTGGAGAGGGAATGTTTTGAGGAAAAAAAAAAGTTTGAGAGAAATTACATGGGGAAGAACAAATCTGTATGCAGAACTAAAAAGTAATTAAAAAAAATTTTTTTAAGTAAAAAAAATAAATAAAATAAAAAGTAATTTTAAAAGCTTGCTAAAAGGATACTTTTAATTCAAATACTATTATGTCAAAACAGATTTATTGAGGTAGCAATCAGCTAAACATTTTATATGTGAAAACACTCAAACAAATAAAATAATGGAGCCCAGTTTTTTGTTTTAATGCTTTTTAAAAAGCTTTACTCTAATAGCTTTGATATTTTACTGAGTAAGTAAGAGTATTGGCACTGGTACTAAACAAGGTCCAGACCTAAAACATAAATCAAGCAATATCCTGGGAAGCTAGGGAAAATAAAGCTATGTTAAAAAACCCCAAATGACTCCATACAGAGGAAATCCCAGATCTGGATTTACACAGAACATCCTTCTCATCGGTCCCAATTGCTTTTACACCCTTCAGTATATTTTATGGACTCTTCCCAAATCATTTTAGGGGCTCTTGTCAACCTCTTCAGAAACATCCAGTAGCCAAAGAGAAACGCAAGCAGTATCATCAATAAAGCCCTTAACGTAACTTTCTTTTTTCTCTTAGAAAACACAGAAGTCTAAGTGTGCAACTTTTTAAAGACCCCAAGTTTTAGCTAGGGGAGATACGAATAAAGTTTTACGTTTCTCAGCCCATATCCAATTTGTGAAATTGGAAGTGAAAAAAAGCCACTTTAAACAACTGTTAGCCTGGGCAAACACACTGAAGAGCATTCCATTAGGGAGGTCAACTCTCAAGGCAAAAGCAACTGGGAAGAAGCCATTCCAGAGCTAGAATTCACACCCTGCAAGAAGTCAGTCATTAATAACAGTTACTCAGAGGAGTTGCAGGACCCGAATGACACTGTATACCAATCCCCAAATTCATATGGGATCACAGCCCATATTCCTGTCACCTGAAAGCTACTTAAAAGCAAATTCTTTAAACTCTTGGTAGTCACAGTTACAGAAATAAGTTGAAAGCAATGCCATACTAAATCTAGTTCCTATTTAGCTCATGCAGCAGACCAGAATAACATGACTACAGCTATAGATGCTACTCGTGAAGTGCACACACGTTACTAACCTTACTAACCTGCTGACTTATAAAGAAACACTGTTTCATTAGCATCAAAACCTACTTTTGTGTAGCGATGGGGGGATTTGGAGGTTGGCAGCTTCTTCAGGTCAAGGAAAGCGTCTCCATTCTCAGCTTCACCCGCGCTTCTCCTATCCATGGCTCCTAAGTCGACAATGCTTTGCACCTGGAAAATAAATCGCAAAACCGTCGCTGAGAAAAGTTTTCAGAATTCTTGACTGCTTATGAAATGCAAACTTTTTCATCTCTCCAGAAGGCACGTTTAAAAAAAATAAACCTTCAGAAAAACGGGAGTGGAGGGAATCGGCTCTCAACAATCATGCTATGAACCAGGACTAGTTGCAAATGGTCACTGTGGTCAGTCATCGCTGCCACTAAAGTATCCCAAGCATCAACAGAGGAAGGAAAAGAAGAAAAAAAAAGAAGTGGAAGGTGCTCCACTCAGCGCAGTCTTCAAGCAGCTTTCATACAAAAAGAAATCAACGTTAGTGGCTGTCACCGCGGGGACCGTTTGGACGAAGGTGAGGGACGTCTCTCCGGCGGGGCCAGGTAAGAGACAGGTTAGGGCAGGGGGTCTGGGAAGTCGGGCTGTCTGTCGTGCCTGTCACTTGCCCATGGACGGCGCCAGCTGCCCTGATTAGCCCGGGCGGAGCGCCCCTCGCCCGGCCAGCCGCACCTGTGGCCATGTCAGGGGCGGCCGCGACCAGGGCCCGGGGAGCGGCGGCGGCGGCTTGGGCTCCAAGGCTGGCTTCCGGCGCCGCGACCCGAATCCCGGGCTCCGGGCCCCGGCCGGACTGTCCACTCCGGA